CATTCGAGAAGTGAGATTGAGAGTAACAGACAGACAAACCAATCAACTACAGTACCCTCGCTGCGCATGCGCGCCGAGGGTAATGAAAAGCACTAAAGTGCAGACCCTCGGCGAAGTAGCTCGCAGAGAGTCTGACACGGGCTAGCTACAGTAGTAGATAGCACGCGAGAGTCGATACACGCCATTCGTTATGACTTCTTGTGCCTTCAAGATAGACAGAGCAAGCGGACCCGGTCGAGGTAAGCCTGTGCTAAATATAAGCGCATGCGCATTATCCACCAGCGATAAAATGGCGACTACCGGCATTAGCCATACAATGCTGGAAGCGCTCTAGCTTTGCAACGGAGCACTTTCAGAGAAAACCGTTCGAAATTTCTGACCTTCATTGCCCGTTAAGTAGATCATATCCTTTGTGAGACGAACAAACACTCGAGAAGTGAGATTGAGAGTAACAGACAGACAAACCCAACTACAGTAACCCTCGCTGCGCATGCGCGCCGAGGGTTAACTACAGTACCCTCGCTGCGCGTGCGCGCCGAGGGTAACTACTGTAACCCTCGCTGCGCATGCGCACCGAGGGTTAATTATGCTGTTCGGGCCATACTCTTAATTACGGTGGCTTTTTAGGGCCACAAATACCATCGCAAAACTTCCGTTGCAGATACTTCCATTCTAGTAACTTCCGTTCTAACACTCACTGCTAAATCTAGCTAGCTAAAAGTTCTAGCTGGCGGGATAGCTGAGGTACTGTTGCAGGGTCATGCATGAGTACTCTCATTAGCTACTCTGTTCGCCTCGCCATAATTCATGGGTTAAAGGTCGTACATGGTTCGCAGGGAGTGGAGAGAGAGCCTGGGAATGAGGCTATATTGTATAATAGCTACTGTAAAGATGCACTAAATATCTGGAAAAAAACGGATAGTGCAGATCACTGACTTCATGTTCATTGATGTTTCAGGGAAATTCCACTGGATTAGCTTTTGGTGTGGCTAACATCTATACTGTGACTTCAGACAAAAGCACGGGGGTCCTTGTTTGTGTAGCTAGCTACCACAAACAGCAAAGCAGTATTTTCCCTCTAGGTTCTCTGGATCAAACGAGGTGTTTCAGCTTAGCTTAGAATCGAACAGAATTGAACTTGGAAGTTGGTTCAGAATGGAAGTCAGCTAAAAATGGAAGTTGGAAGTCATGGATAACAAAGTTTATACTAGGAACAACTTTCTGAAACCTTGTCCCAACGGGTAGATCTCAGGAACAACACAGCATTATCTAACTTATGGAACATTGAGCTACAAGTGTACACTAATTTTAACCCATGAATCATGTCTGGAACAAGTAATACAAGAAATGTTTCCTGGATATAAGTAACTTTCATCTGAGCAGAATTGACATACTCTAGGATCTGATAATAAGAGGATAAATCACGCAGTGGCACATTTAATTCACACCACTTTCATAATACATTTTAGACTACAGTAACACGCAACTGACCAATCAGATTCCGAGTTCAGAGGTAACTATTTCGCAGCCCTGCGGCACTTTTCTTGCGCGTAATGGCAACCGCGCCTTCAATTGGAGAGACGCCGTGCGTTCGGAAGGCAAACGGAGCTTCTGGAGATGTTTTCTCACAAGTACTGGGTTTTCTAGTAGGAAGCGGTGCATGACTAGCTACAGCTCGAGCCAGACCCGCACGCAGAGGCCCCGCCTACTTTCGCGTTAGCGAGCCGTGCCGCCTAGAACAAACACTCTCTACTGCCTTGCTGGTATAGTCGTTGTTGCGCCTACTCGAACTGGCTGCTAACAGCTGCAAATAGCCTGTCTACTTCCAGTTCGTCCTCAGCAAAAAGCTCCGACCCAGTAAGCCCTATGCAGCGTGCGTTGCTGTGCGTTGCTAGCGATGTAGTCTAGATGCGTTGCCTTGGGAACTACGCGATTTAGTGAGCCTCGGGGCCCTGGTTGTATATAGCGCCCTTGCTGCGCTCGGTACGCCGCGACAGCCCAGGGCCCTCGGCTCACTAAATCGCGTAGTTCCCGCGGCTCCGCATCTAACCTATACTTAGACTACGGTAACACGCAATTGACCAATCAGATTGCGAGTTTAGCGGTGACTAATTTTGTTAGTGACCTCTTCCGCGGTAACTATTCGTAGCCCCGGCAACCACGCCTTCAATTCGAAAAGACGCCACGCGCGCGGACGGTGAACCGAGCTTCTGGAGAGGTTCTTCCCACGAAGAAATCAGGAACAGGCTCTTCTAGCAGCAGCGCATGACTACTAGAGAGCTAGGAAGACGCTAGAGAAAGCGTACAGGGAAAAACGCATACAAACGGCCGGGCGGCGCGATCCCGAAGGCAGCAACGCCTACAACGGACACTGCAGCGGGACGGACTTGCGCTGTAGTCTAAGCCGGTTAGACGCGTCGCCTTGGGAAACTACGTGATTTAGTGAGCCTCGGAGCCCTTAGTAGCGCCCTCGCTGCGCTCGGGACGCCGACAGCTCAGGGCTCCTCGGCTCACTAAATAGCGTAGTTCCTGCGGCTCAGCGTCTAACCTATACGTATGATTATGCCGCAACACTACCTCAGCTATCCCGCCAGCTAGAACTTTTAGCTAGCTAGATTTAGCAGTGAGTGTTAGAACGGAAGTTACTAGAATGGAAGTATCTGCAACGGAAGTTTTGCGATGGTATTTGTGGCCCTAATAAGCCACCGTACTTATTTGCTTGCATTTGCCCGCACGAATTTGCGCATGCGCGCCCAATAAAACCAAGTTCAACGATGTCTATTTTACGGATGTGTGGTTTTCTCGCACTAATCCAGGCCTTGAGCACTGCCAGTGATTCCAATGCTTCATGTAGCGCTCCATGGCGATACTGTGGTTCGTCCGGTAAGTCCTAACGCTGAGTGGAAGGCGCTCATTAGCCATGCTCTCAGGTTCCTCCAATGGAATATCAGTTGACTCGGTGAAAGTGAATAACTGCTGCTCTCTCCCATGCTACTTCACCAAGGGGGAGAATGTTTCTGTCACAGTAGTATTCACCGCAGGCAAGTAACACTTACAGCTAATGTATCCCTGCGTGTGTTTCTTACAGAGTGCAATATTGTTTTCGGTTCAGACGAATACTTTGAGAGTTTACTGTTGAAGCTATGTGGAGAATTGTATGGTTCATGTATTGATTTCTCACTGGAGAGCAGTGACCTCTGTACCTACGTCTCCTGCCCCCTCCAATTCAATAAGCAATACAAGATGAAACTGAACATCTTTATCAAGACCTACTGGCAAGATGTAGACACCTAATCCTTGTTTTTGTCACAATGAATGAGCGACTTTTTATTGATGCAGGTGTCGGTGACCGCCAAGTGGATGTTGGAGGATGCGAGTGGAGACCAGAAGGCATGTTTCTATCTACCAGTGGTTATCAAGAGCCCCACTAAGAAACCAGAGTACACTCCTGAGACTGGCCCTCCGAAAAAGCCACCACAGCCTCTGGCAAAAGCCTTGTTGTGACATCCATAGACGAAATAAGTGTGTGTGTGTTGGTTTAGTGATATAGTGTTTGATATAAGCAGTCCCTTGATTGGCACATAGCACTGTATAGTTGCGAACATCAGTGGACAATGCTGTCCCATTCAGGCACTCATTCAACAGAGTAAGTGCCTTCAACAACAACTACCATTGCTACACTGGTGTGGAGACAATTAGCTCACTGACACAGTCTGTAAATTTTTTAATTTTGCACACAACTGGGATTATATGTGGGGGGAGGGGAGAGGGAAGGCCAATATATATATGTTATGTACTACGTGCGAGGGACATACCGGATTTCAATGAACCCGAGTGCCTCCGCGTTTGTAGTGTCCCGAGCGCAGCGAGGGCACTACGCGGAGGGCACTACGCGGAGGGCACTACGCGGAGGGCTTGAGGGTTCATTGAAATCCGGTATGTCCCGAGTATACGGAGTACATAACATGTTTAGTGCAGAGCAAATCAGCTCCGTATACGCGCACTGCGTTTCCAAGCACAGGGAATTTGAAAGATGCGAGAAAGAGACGAGAGCGCGAGACCGTCATCTCGTGCGGGACTATTGAACGCCGAACGCTAGGATACGCTGCTCCGCCACTCTAGCTACTCCCGCTGCGGGACTGTTCTCCGCCACTCATCCGAAGAAACGCGACAGGAGACCTGCGCGAACCATCGCAATCAGAGAGAGGCGAATTCAGGCGCTGTGCGGGCGGCTATACCGAAGGCGTTCGCCGTCGACTTAGTAGCTTTGTCGCGCGCACTCGCTCGCGGAGCCCCACCCCCTTATTTGCGTGCGGTGGTTTGTGGCGGGCATGAGCTGCCTGGCTATCTACTATGTATATACATGGCAAGGAGGGAGATGGGCTCAAAGCAGACACAGAAAACTGTCTCGTGGAAAAAGAAAATCAAGATATCAGTTATTTTGATCAACATTTTGTACAGATCATGTTTTTCGGGATACATTTCTTATATGAAATGCTGTTTAACTTGTTCAAAATCAACAGAAAAAACAAGGTTTCATATCATGTTTTCATGTTACTTTTGTTAGCTCACGAGGTTCATATGAGAAATCAGGAACCTCGTACTAACAAATCTAATTGGTCGATTCGAATCAGCTATGCACTAATAGCTGGCATACATTAATAATAATTACTCCGAGCTTTTTAGTCGTCCTCCACACCTACCCTTCTTTTTATTATAGCCTGAGAATCAACATTGGTTCTCTCCGAGCTTCGAGTCCACCACTGAACGTACACATAAAATTTTCATAAATAATATAATCTTAACCGCTTCCAATCAACTTCCCATGTTAAAGACAAGATAAAGACACCATCTATTTATTATAAACACTCAAAGAGTTCGTCTCATAGAACCAGTACTACAGTAACTATGACAAACAATGACAGGAGTAGACTAGGAAGATGTGCTGCAGTCACAGGAGAGCCTCCGCTTCTCCCCTCCACTCCTGGGGTCTCGGGCGATGTGGAGTCACTTCTGGGAGCAGTGGTGGGACTGGCAGTAGTGGGACTGGCAGTAGTGGTAGAGTCACGGAAACTCTGAGCATCAGATATGAGATAGACATCCATTGCCATCCAGCGGGAGTAATATCCTCCTGTCGATAGACCACAACAGAATGGGTTCAGTGGAAATGTATAACAATTTGTAGCTATGTGCATAATATTTCAACAACCAGGCAAAGGCAAAGGCAAAGCAAAACATTAGTACAGTACACAGAACTCAAAGATTGAACTTAAGATAAAAGAAACAGCTCTTTTAGTTACTCCTCCAAAGTCCCTTCTTGTCCACAATTGTAAACAACGACGAGACCCCAAGTCATAGTCAAAAAGCTAGCAAACAACACACAACTAGCTACACCCAGCCCTTAGTGCAGGTATATTATATTCAGCCCGGTCAGAATTATCATCATTTCCCATGGAGTGGAAGGTCTCACCGACTCCTCCCTCGCAGAAGCCAGTCTCAAACGACTGATACAGCTGGAGGTTGCTGGAGCCCGAGATACAGAAACCAACAGCCAGAGCAAATACGTTAAAGTTGTAGAGCTGGGCAGCTGCTCCACATTTGCTGACAGGGTCCTCCCTCTCCCAGGGATTGTCACTGAGGTCCTCTGTGGTCCCCTCCAGGAACACTAGGTTGCTGCTGTAGATGGGGGGCACCCAGTAGCACCCCACATGTTCCACTCCTGGCACGGCAGCATTCGGGACAGGTTAACAATCAAGCATGCATAGCTCAGTATTCTTAATATCAGTGTACGCTACATTCTACATTAGGTATATTCATCAAGACTGTTCAACATACTTCGCTATAGTGTGTGTATAATACACCGTACAAAGTGTATATCTATTTCGATATAGTGTATACAGCGTTACAACCTGCTCACCTCTCAGACTTGGCTCTGGGTTGCAGTCGTGTGTGTTGCAGGACTGGCTCTCAGTCTCACAGGCTCCGTCACTGCATCCCCTGCTCCTGAACTGAGTCCCATTCCCACATGGATGAGTGCACTCACTCCACTCTGACCACTCTGCCATTGACACACCTGCACACAGAGAGGGAAGTCAAGATGCAGTATTGATGATACCTACAAGCACGTATAGACAATGCCTGATCCTTATGTGTACAAACTGGAGGCCGTTGTAATAAAAAAACAATAGCAAGGCACACATTTTTTGTAAAGCAGTGTTGCATGAGACTCTGTCTGTTTTGTGAAGGTGAGAAAATAACTTACTGCCGTCACAAGGTGTGTCAGAGTTACAGTACTGACCTCGACGTTGGAGCCAGAGCAGTCGTTGCCATTACTGCACTGTCTCCTCCTCAGTCTTGTCCCTCCCTGACACGTCTGACTGCACCTGCTCCAGCTTCCCCACTCTGCCCAGGTGGAACCTACACACAGACAGACAGACAGACAAAGCAATAGCAGTTACTAATCGACACACATCATCATTGTTCCCAGCAGTCCCAGTCTCAGTGTCTGGGGAACTGCAGGGTGTCTCTGGTGGGAGGGGTAAAATTAAGGTGTCTGGGAGGTATATACTATAAGACAGATGCCAGTGGTAAATGTGGTATTGGTGGCTCTGGGTGTATGGCCTTATATACTTGTTTCTTGTACCATCAGGGCAGGAGTCGGTGTTGCAGTCAGTATACTCAGTCTGTCTGCCGACACAAGTGTTTCCTCCGATGCAGGTTCTGCTCCTGGTCCTCCTGCCTCCCCCACAGCTGGCCGTACACTCACTCCAGCTGCTCCAGCCACTCCATGTAGCCTCCACTAGTGGAACAGCATTATAGGACAACACAAGTCAATATCCAACAACACTAGTCAATATCCAACACTGGCAAGACATTTTAACATTGTGTTCTTAATTGCAAAGCATTCTAGACGTTACACCTCTTGTGGAACAGTTGAGTGTGGAACCATACCATTCATCTCTTATGTAGGGTGCATTGTACACAGACAAAGAGCTGATAGACATGATACACTAGTGGAATAATACAGTCGAACTGTGACAAGTAAGGGTTGAATGGCTGAACAGATGAGCCAAGTGTGTGCTAACAGGACCAGCCCTGGACTACAATAAGGGTGGACACTACACTCACCAGCACAGGGCTCGGTGTTGCACTGCTCTTTGTCAATGTTGCTTCCCTCACAGTCTGAGCCTCCTTGGCATTCCCTGATCTCTGGACCTGCTGCCACCATTGCAGCTCTGACTGCAGGCTGTCCACTCACCCCATTCGCTCCAACTACCTCCTGAGTCTGTCTCACAGCATGTGGTACAGGGGAGGAAGGGAGAGATAAAGAACACACATTAAAACCCTCACACCTTTATAACGAGCATCTTGAAGCTAATACATTATCACTGGTGTCGTGACTACAGTGGAACCTCCAAACGAGGGACACTATGGGGCCAACGATTTTGTCCCTTGTAAAGAGGTCATCCCTATCTCTGAGGTCAAATAATACGCTAAATTAGTAGCATGGGGTTGAAACAAGTGTCCTTTGTAGAGAGGTCATCCTTTTCTCGGAAGGTCCCTTATCGGAGGTTCCACTAATAATCTATAGCTCTTCAAGTGAACAGATGCACATTGCGGTTCAACTACTACCACTTACCTCCTCCGCAGTAGAGTGTTCTGACGTGCTGCAGGTCGTTGTCTGAGAGGTCGTCCCTCTGGCCCAGACTGTTCAGAGAGATGCCGGAGTCCAGAGGCACAATGGTGGGCTTCCCATTGCGAGTGAAGGCGTACGCATCATAGTGCATCAGAGACCGAAAGTCATAGGCGATGGCCTGAGTTGTGGCGAAGGATGTGCTCACCACGTCAAAGTTACTCTCGGTACCTAGAACAAAGACACCAGTGGGGATAAAACATATTCTAGCATCGTGTTATGGAGCCACTCAACTGCTGCCAGACCCATCTCTGACTTACTTAAAACCCTATTAAGTATCAATTTCACTGCTGGTTACTGTTTCTGAAGCAGCTACATAATATACTGATGAGTAGTGAGTTACTGTGTCGAGGGGCTCACCATATGCAATGTTATCATCGTTGATCCTGACGAAGAGTTCGCGGTCAGGTCGACTCTGCTCATGCCACCGTCCCAGAGCATGGAATATCTCGTGCATCACAATCCCCTTATACTCACAGCCCCGTCCAATTGATATGTCCTGAGGTCCACTCACTCTACCTATGTATGACCAGCACCTGCAATGGCAGTGGGAGTGAATGAGGCACATAACATGAGAATAAGTCGGAGAATAGACTTCTGTTATATTTCCAGTGCAGCAAAGTGTCCAACTAACCCGTCTCCACTGAAGAACCTGACATAGTCTTCCTGAGTGGTCCTCTCTTCAAAAGTGATACAGGTCTGTTCCATGTAGGCATCCATGGCCTCCAGAATGGCTTCTCTTGCATACTCACCTGTGAAGGAAGGGTGAGGGTAAAGAAGAGTGTTTGCAACTTGCTGGTTTAAAGTGGACTGACAGTAAGGGTCTATTCTCCTTACTAAGGCTGTAATCAAAGATGTAGTAGACTTTTCCATCCTCCCAGAGGAACTGCTCGCTCCTGACGACTGCATGCTGGAGGGCAAAGGGGCTGATCTGATTAGACGTGGCCTCCAGTGTCGCCTGCTGCTCTGGGGTGAGGGCTATGTCCCCTCCATACATGTGCAGTGAGTAGTCTGCAGGGATGGTTTTGAGTAGCAAACATGTGCCAGTGGGTATGAAAGGGTGACTTACTCTGATTGACCGTAGTCTCGACCACTGAACTGTCCCCTGGTTCTCCTGGTCCCCCTGGCCCTGGTCTCCCTGGTGTTCCATCTCCTGGTCCCCCTGGTTCTCCTGGTCTCCCTGGTGTAGTGTCAGGCGGACCAGGTGGCTTGGGAGGAGCTCCAGACCCTGACATTGTTGGTGTACCATCTCCAGGTCCTCCTGGTCCTGGTTTTCCTGGTGTGCCATCTGGTCTGTCTGGAGGAGAAGGAGGGCGAGGTTTTGGTGTGTCTTCCAGTCCTGATCCTGACATAGGCATCCCTGGTCCCCCTGGCCCTCCTGGTCTTCCTGGGCCTGGTGGTGGTGGGGGCATTCCAGGTCCCCCTGGTCTTCCTGGTGTGCCATCTGGTCTGCCTGGAGGAGGAGGTTTGGGTCTGTCTTCTAGTCCTGATCCTGACATGGGAGGCATTCCTGGGCCCCCTGGTCTTTCTGGTGGGCCTGGAGGAGGTGGGGGCATTCCTGGTCCCCCTGGTCCTGGTTTTCCTGGTGGTGTACCATGTGGTGGTACAGGAGGAGAAGGTGGACGAGGTCTTGGTGTGTCTTCCAGTCCTGATCCTGACATTTGTGGTCCATCTCCTGGTTCCCCTGGTCTCCCAGGGCCTGGAGGAGAAGGTGGACGAGGTTTGGGTGTGTCTTCCAGTCCTGATCCTGACATTTGTGGTCCATCTCCTGGTTCCCCTGGTCTCCCAGGGCCTGGTGGAGAAGGTGGACGAGGTTTGGGTGTGTCTTCCAGTCCTGATCCTGACATTTGTGGTCCATCTCCTGGTTCCCCTGGTCTCCCAGGGCCTGGAGGAGAAGGTGGACGAGGTCTTGGTGTGTCTTCCAGTCCTGATCCTGACATTTGTGGTCCATCTCCTGTTCCCCTGGTCTCCCGGGCTGGATGAGAAGGTGGACGAGGTCTTGGTGTGTCTTCCAGTCCTGATCCTGACATTTGTGGTCCATCTCCTGTTCCCCTGGTCTCCCAGGGCCTGGAGAAGAAGGTGGACGAGGTTTGGGGTGTGTCTTCCAGTCCTGATCCTGACATTTGTGGTCCATCTCTCTGGTTCCCCTGGTCCTCCCAGGGCCTGGAGGAGAAGGTGGACGAGGTCTTGGTGTGTCCTTCCAGTCCCTGATCCTGACATTGTGGTCCATCTCCTGGTTCCCCTGGTCTCCCATGGGCCTGGAGAAGAAGGTGGACGAGGTTTGGGTGTGTCTTCCAGTCCTGATCCTGACATTTGTGGTCCATCTCCTGGTTCCCCTGGTCTCCCAGGGCCTGGAGGAGAAGGTGGACGAGGTCTTGGTGTGTCTTCCAGTCCTGATCCTGACATTTGTGGTCCATCTCCTGGTTCCCCTGGTCTCCCAGGGCCTGGAGAAGAAGGTGGACGAGGTTTGGGTGTGTCTTCCAGTCCTGATCCTGACATTTGTGGTCCATCTCCTGGTTCCCCTGGTCTCCCAGGGCCTGGAGGAGAAGGTGGACGAGGTCTTGGTGTGTCTTCCAGTCCTGATCCTGACATTTGTGGTCCATCTCCTGGTTCCCCTGGTCTCCCAGGGCCTGGAGGAGAAGGTGGACGAGGTTTGGGTGTGTCTTCCAGTCCTGATCCTGACATTGTGGTCCATCTCCTGGTTCCCCTGGTCTCCCAGGGCCTGGTGGAGAAGGTGGACGAGTTTGGGTGTTCTTCCAGTCCTGATCCTGACATTTGTGGTCCATCTCCTGGTTCCCTGGTCTCCCAGGGCCTGGAGAGAAGGTGGACGAGGTCTGGTGTGTCTTCCAGTCCTGATCCTGACTTTGTGGTCCATCTCCTGGTTCCCCTGGTCTCTCAGGACCTGGAGAAGAAGGTGGACGAGGTTTGGGTGTGTCTTCCAGTCCTGATCCTGACATAGGGGGCATTCCTGGCCCCCCTGGAGGATGTTGGGGCATTTCATGTCCCCCTATTGGTGGTGGTGGTGGCATTGGTGGCCTAGGTTGCTGTGGCTCTCCTGATCCTATACTATTATCTGGGCCAGATGGCATTCCTGATCCTGGTGGTTGAGGAGAAGGTGGAGGAGGGGAGGGTGGTCGACTGGGAACAGGTTTTTCCATCTGTTCACCTGAAGATTCTGAATCCTCTCCCAGAGGAGGAGGAGGAGGAGTGGGAGGCCTGCCATGTCCTGGTCCAGTGTTATCACCTGGCTCGCCAGGCATGCACACTGCCACTCCATACAGAGCAACTACTGTCGACAGCAGCAGCAGCCAGTGTCTGCTGCCCAACATACTGAGCGCTGCCTACAACTGACTCTGACTCCCATCACACGACGCTGTATTAAATAGAGGTCCGAGTATCGATCCTGTGTTAGGTGTACATGTTCCCACACTAGAGTCTCAATGGCAGAGTGGAACTGTGGAGCAAGGAGGAGCAGGAGGAGCAACTACCCTGAATAAAGCTGTCTTGTTCACTGATCATGCTTTCACTGGCAATGCTTTCCAACACGTGCACAACTGTACATTATGTACCCACGTAGGTCTTGCTGGCACTACCTTATATGCAGGTGACCGAAACTGCATTCAGTTGTGAGTGTATGGCTTGTGCATGACAGAGAGACAGCAGGTCTTGATGCCAACATTAAGAGTGAGGATCGCAAGAAACTATGTCAGGGTTAATATTACCACTGAATATCACAATTATAATTATCAGAGCATGCGCAGAGTTTATCGCAGCTTCAGTTGTACACAAAATATATGCTCACGTGGGAATAAATAATAAATGTACCAAATAGGAGGGAGTCTATGGATCAGAACAAGCTATCTCTGGTTCTGGAGAGGGTAAGGAACTCCTCTCGTGTGCGAGGGTCGTCTCTGAAGGTCCCTAGCATACAGCTGGTGGTGGTCCTGCTCCGAGGCTTGCTCACTCCACGCATCGTCATGCACATGTGCCTGCAGAACAACAGTAACTGCAATTGTGGGCCTATAACTTTATTGTAGCTACTTGCATGCAATCATTATTAACCCTCGGCACGCATGCGCAGCGAGGTTACAGTAGTCGTTCTGTCGGTCTGTCCGTCTGTCTGTCTGTCTGTCCGCGCGAGTTCTCGCACTACAGGCTACGAGGCGGGCAATGAGTGGCGCCAACGGGTTGTGAACAACGAGAAGATGGATACTAACGTGGCGATTTTCCTGAAACGACTGCGTTCCAGAGATATGGCTTGAAAACAAGCGAAAAAGCCAACATGCGGTCGATCTCGCACGCGCGCCTCTCCGGCAGGCTATATAGCGCGCACGCGTCATGTCAATTATTCGCCGGAGCATGTGCTACGCCACGTTGGTTGTATATACGATCCACGGGCTTCTGTCAGTTTTGATCTCTGTTCTCTTTACTAGCCTTGCCTTCCCTATTCACATTGAGTGCGCCATATACAGGAATAAGGGGTGTCAGCTTAGTGCTTACAAACTTGTAAATTCGTATCATGGAACATCAGTGTAAATATGTTAGGAGACCCAGCGGAAGTTCTCTTTGTTTTTTCAATGGATAAACATGCTGAGCAAGGTATGTCGCAATGTAGCATAATAGTTCAGTTGGCGAGCAGTTTGTGGCTGCGGCCTTGTCTTCCCATCTATAAAACGTCTGGCGAGAGCATTGAAACACAGAAGAGCGAATAAAGCAAATATTAGAGCCTCTGAAAAACCTGAGCCATTTCTCTAACCGCTAATGCAACTAGCTACCCTGTGTTACGGCGAGACTCGTGTTACTGGCTCAGTCGATGACGCACAGCCCAGCATACAGCGATGCTACAACTCGCGCGTTTAGCGCTGAGGGTTTGCACTTTAGTGCTTTTCATTATAAGGGCTAAAATTATGAATTGATGGAACTAAACAATAGGGCCCAGAGCAAGTACTATGCAATTACATTTGCATTATAATTACTGCCACATTCCCTGTCAAGTCAATCATGCAGTACCGGACAATGTGCAGTTTGAAAGAGAAAACTTTACGTTAGTCTACCAAGAAAACTGCTGCTACCCTCAAATTATTGTGGAGACTCACGTGGCTTCAACTACCACACCCACTCCAGAGGGGTTGATGGCCTTCAGTATTGCCTCAGCTATCTCCCTAGTCAGCCTCTCCTGAACTGTGAGATGAGGGGTGGATAAAGGGGGGGAGGAAACTGCTACAAACTGCTAAGACTTCTCAGTACAACTGCACCCAGAGTTTGGTGGGAAGAGAGGACTGAAAAGTGAGGGAAAGGAAGAGGAAAAGGTCACAGAATCAAGCAGTATGGAATTTGTAGCTGCACTTAGCCTAATTGCCAGTAACAATATAGTACAAAGAACCAAAAAAGGATAAGTTTGAGGGAGAGGGGCTGTGTTACTGAATCCCTGGAGTAGCCTCCTGAACACTACCTTAACTCTCCCCAACACACAATAGATGTAAGCCTTGAGCCAAATACAGAAAACAGAGAGTGGAGGCTCAAAGACTAAACAGAGGGAAGGGGGGGTGCTTGGATGCGAAGCAGTTACCTAACTTACCCTGTAATCTTCTGCTAAACATTTCAACAATCCTGCACATTCAGAGAAAAACTACATAACACAGTCAGTGTCATGTAGAGAGGAGGGCTGACCTGGCCACCTTGCTGAGACCCAGAACCTGGCCCTGGGGCAGGTAGCCCACTGAGACTCTGCCAAAGAAGGGCACAAGATGGTGCTCACAGAGTGAGAACAGCTCAATGTCCTTCACCACCACCATCTCCTCATGGTTCTCCTGGAATATTCCATCCCCCACCACACCTGCAGCCAGGTGTGAGCATGCTCAATACACAATTTCAGTGAGTGAAAGTAGAGATTTACAACGTAACGGTAGCAATATGTTTGACAGGGCAGCCTTATGGATAAACTAGTTGTCTCGCCAACTGAAAAATGAAGACTGGCCTTTTGTCTACAGCATTTGGCCAAAAGCAAATTTGGATTCCTAGCTGACTTACAAAATGACAGGAAAAGGTGCGCTCTTCTGTCATTTTGAACTTGAAAAGGAGTTTTGAATTCTCAAAGTAACAAACAAGTTATTGGCCTAAAGGATGTCACTCCCACGAAATCCACACCCACCATCACACCAGGTGATTGGCTTCTGGGCTTCTTACTTCTGGCTGCCTGGTCTGGGAAGCAGCTGCAATGTTCCTTAGTTATGCAAAAAGAAGGTGTGCCCCAGGACTGTTGACCTTTAAACTTACTGGCCAAGTTGTCTTCATAGCCTTTTGTGAAGAAGCAGAGGGCCTTGGCAGCTCGCAGTGGCGTACGCTTCAACCCTTCTCGCTCCGGCTGCTCCCCCACGCTCTCAATGAGAGCAGAAAAAGCTCCAGACATTTTCTCGAGTGTTTCCTCCGCTTTCTTCTTGTCAGTCTCGTTCTTCCAGCCCATATCCAGCTGGTCACGGTGCGTGTCCAGGCGAGACAAGGGTATCCGCATCTCCTCCGGGCTCCCAGGCAGTGATTGCTGCGAACTGCCAGCCGCAATATTTCTCCCACTTATCCCTGTCGCCATTTATTTTCGAAATTTTGATGGGGTATATACAAATTTTCAGTCCATGCATTCACTGTATATAATTCTTGCAATCAGGTTAGGATAACGACACGAAGTGGAGTACCCACAGTTACTACTGGAACCCCCCTCAACCACGGTCTACTACCAAGCTGCTTGAACGAGAGAGCTAGCTCAGAGGCACTTGCGAGAGCTAATACGGGCACGCATGCGCAATAGCGCGGAGCTAAATTAACCCTATTCCCACCGCAATACGAGAAGGCTACGCGGAAGCAGAGAAGACTAGACTGACAGGAGACTAGGCAGTAGTAAGTATATCCCACGATGATAGGAAGATTTCGAGCCTCACCAGTGCTGATGACGGCGTGTCTAGCGCTGGCGGCGAGCACGATGGCCCAGAGATCAAATGACGTAAGCAATACCATTACGCCCTAACACCGCCACTCTCACTCTGACAACTGTTGTTACTTACATTTACACATGGTTTTCTGGCATTCATGTCAATAGTCACTGCCACTTGTACCCCGTTTCTCCCTCCTCATACCCAGTTTCAGTTCAACATTCTGACTAACCAGAGACTCAACTCTGTGATGAGATGTCACGAGGTCGAATCCCTCTTTGAGTATGACCTGCCAGAGGTCCTCAAAGTCAGGGTTCCCGGTACTCCAGAACATGAAGTCGTCAAGAATGTAAGACTAGCCCCCTCCCCCCACCTCTCTTGGTCTCACATTTCACTGACCTTAGCTACTGCTGTACTAGCAGAGTGAAGTTTATGTCCATTATATACCAGTACATATTATCATCTATACATGATCTGGCACCTGCTTCACAATGACACAATCGTGTTTCCTCTGGCCAAGTTTACAAATATGTTTGTATATAAATCTATCGTGTGTGTCTCCTTCCTTTCTGCAGTATATAGTGTCTCGACTGAACCAGCTGAACTGCTCCCGGTGGAACATCACACAGCACTCCTTTGAACAGGACACCCCCTATGCCGACATTCCTCGTACAAGATTCACCAACATTATAGCCACCCTGGACCCAGAGGTAGGGGAACAAGTTGTTTGGTCTGGAAAGGGAATGTGTACATGGGTTTGGGCTGCATGTTGAGTCATTGTTCGGGAAGGAGTTTCTTTAGTACATGAAGAGTTAGCTTCCCCTAGTGTAACCATAGAGTGTTAGTATCTATCAATACTGGGAAGCTATACAGAGAAGGAACAAGTCGGTGACTAGGCCCTGGTGGTTACAGATGTTGTTTACTGTGAGGCAGCTGTGAATTTGTACTAAAAGACAGAACCCCTATCCAGCCTAATGTACAATATGTATCTCTAACAATCATAGATCTCTGCAAGTGTAATTCTACCCACACATGAAGTATAATATCATGCCCTAGTCTAGCTGTGTGATTTGTGATGTGGTGGTGCAGGTGGACAAGAGACTGGTGCTGGCAGCTCACTACGACTCTAAGAGGACACCCAGGGGGTTCCTGGGAGCCACTGACTCCGCCCTCCCTGTTGCCCTACTCCTGGACATGGCTCTCACCCTCGATGAGAAACTGCAGAATAGAGGGGTACATACAAAACATGCATGATAGTGGTTTTGTGTGACGGAGGAGACAAGCTAACCTTGTCACAACAGATTGTTGTATCTACAGTGCAATCGTGCCCGTGTCACATACATATTCATAATGCAGGATGGAATCAAGACTTCGACATTCACTTGTCGAGCTATGTATGTACACACATATATTTTGTATACACAAAGAACCCTTTCTCAGTGAGCCTCACTCACACACTCCTCCCCTTGTGCACTCCTGTTCCTGCTCTGGGGGTATAGTTGGAACTACATCTGGTCCTCCAAGCAATGGGCCACAGGATGCTACATAACTAGACAAGTGTGGCTTTATGCATGACTGTGCAAGTATGACTAATTGACCAATTTCATGCACTGCTATGCTGTGAACTGAACAACCAAGCACTGCATTCAACCGTGCATCTTACCCTTGCTACACATGCATCCCAAGGGTCAATTAGTAGAGTATTTTGTCTTTAACATCCCTTCCTTCCTCCTCCTCCTCCTCCTCCCTCCAGCTGTCAGAGTACAGTCTCCAGCTGATATTCTTTGACGGCGAAGAGGCGTTCCAGAGATGGACTGCCACAGACTCTCTCTATGGCTCGAGACAGCTGGCCAGAGACATGGAGGACACCAGTCTCCTCAGTGTCGGAGACAAGACTGCGCTGCAGGCTATGGTGAGGCAGCCCCTGCTTTCATAGCTCGTCTGATGTGCAACTTGTCACTAGTATTCCCTACTACAATTATTCCCTGTTGTGTAGATATAGTTATTATATAGGATCTCTTGTTACAAACTGCTTTTGCTCGAAATTTCATTAGTCAACTTACCTAACTTAACCTGTTGTGTTCATATAAAGGATCTCTTGTTACAAAAGGTATTTGCTCAAAATTGTTAGTCACAATGACATCACAACGAAAGGTTGTAACGTTGCCTCAAAGACTAGCTACTACGACGGAAATCCATCAGAAGACAAGTGTGTTTTAACATTAGGTACATGCACACGTGTAAATGTGTGCATGACCGCGTTTAAACTCGTGACACACGCGGTTGTGTTATACCTTGCATCTGAGCGGTACTGTACGTGCGTGCGTGCATTATACACATTTCACGCACATGTTGACTTGTTTGCCTTGCCTTACCTTTCTCCTTTGTTACCAAGTTGTTGAGACATGTATAGAGCCAAGAATATGCTACTTGTTTACTCCAGTAAGGGGAAACATGTGAGAGGTTAATAATTGAAGGGGTCGTTTTTTACAGTTGAGGCTTAGTTTGAGTAAGAATGGGACAATTTGTCCCCCCCCTGGCCCCATTCCCCCTAGATAAAAGTAGACAAACTGTGAAATACTAGCACCCATGCATTGTTTTAGCGTAAAAAGAGAGTAACAAACTTGGATCTACTAAGCTGCATAAAGTGTGCAGTTCATGCCAATAAGCACTGTCCAGTAGAAATGTGGCAGAAGATAATATGTCGTAGTAATATCCTCATTTAGTTCATGATATTAAGGACAGAGGAACCCGGTACACACTGGGTGTATAATATGTCTACTATGAAGCACGCCGGTATCTTGATGACTGACGCACTTGTGAGCGTGCTATCAAGCTTGCTATAGTAAACCGACTTTAGCACAATCACCTTTTTCTATTGCCCTCCGGTCTATCCAGTGGGTGCTCCTACAGGTGATGAACTCCCAGCCACAGTAGTGTTTGGCCTTTGGAAACTAGTTGGCTGACGTGTAGTGTTGTCGTCCTGCTGCTGGCTCACTCTCAGTCACAATCCATGCACACTTCTACGTACATGTACACACCCATCCCATTGGATTTGGTGTGCACCAGGCTCTTTTCCCCTCCCACAAAGAGCCTTGGGGACGAGGCTACTAGTCACAGGATGGTCTGGGTGTGGAAGACTTACATACTGGTCTCGCACTTGTCAGTCACCCCCCTCTTGCCTCTTACTGATACAGACACCGCCTCACTTATGTGGGAGTCTGTGTTACCGTGACAATGTGGAGGACGAGTGGTTGGTTGTTTGGTTGCTATTGGAGATCAGCAAATGTATGTGTAACACAACACACTAGGTGAATTCACATTCACTTTACTTCATAGTTTGTAACACACGTAGTTTCTTACAGTCATGTGGGAGCCTATGTGTATAGTATTAGGTATATATGTACCCCTCTTTGCTGGCGGCAGAATCACGTGTATACAGTGGAACCTCCGAATAATGGACTGACTGGCCGTTTTGTCCTTTGTTCGGAGGTTGTCCCTTCCTCAGAGGTCCTACCCTATAGTACCACGATTATCAACGTAAACCACATAAGCCGTAGAATAAGTACTGATCAAGGGTAGACTGCTTGTTGGGACTGTAGAATCTCTACTGTCTGCAGTATTTGATATGTGACTCTAACTCCTGGCTACACTAAATAGCTTCTGCCCACTGGCTGGCTAGAGAACACAAGTCCTAACTGGAACTCACCAAAAAAGCTTAGAACTGCCTATACTGGCTGGTGTGACTGCAAGGAATAGCTTTTAGAGGGCAAGGGTTCTGCTTGTGCATTATTGGAGGTGAATTTTGTACACGGGACAGTCAGGTTTGTCCATAGGTTTTTGTCCATATCTCGGAGGTGGAAATGTATGGTTATCGGCAGAGGGGAGGCAGTTTGTCAATTGTAGGGAGGTTGTCCTATCTTAATCGGAAGTTCTACTGTATACTACCTACAGTGTGTACATTATAACATACATTTTACAGACCTAGTGCTTAGCAACGTAACATACACGTGTATGACACCCTTGTGGATGGTAGTTGCTGTGGCTGCAATAATCCAAAGCAGGAAGTGGAAGGTGTGATGAGGGATGTGATGTCATGATGACTGTGATGTCACTGGACACCACAACTCCTTGGATACTGTGTGAATCTTTGATAATTGAATGACTTTACAGACCAGCTCCTGTTTACCCTCCACTGTCCTGGTGTCAGTGGTATGTACCTTCCATTGATTAGTACAAGTTCATCCTGTTCCTACCCTGTCTGTGTCATTGGTTCATAACGTACCGATGTAGTAATAACATAATGGAATGATTTAAAGATCCTCCCGCATTAAATGTTAGACCAAGTCCTACTGAGATAGTGAACATTGTGAGGTCATTGTTGTAACGTAGCATTATGGTTCAACTTTTAGATCTTAGTGCATTCCCTTCTCCATGCAGTGGCACAGTAATCAGATGGGTAGGGTGGCTGGCACCCCCTAATTTCCCCAACTATCACACACAGATGTGTTGGTGTGACAGCGCCTACATAATATTTCATGTGACGTTTATTTTTTCACACGTGTGCCCAATGTGAGACAAAGCCTTATTACTGAATGACTCAGAAAAATTAATAGTGGTTGTCAGCACAATGAAGGTGACATCGAGCATATCAATTTTCATTCTGCTGCATTAACCATACACCCTAGTGTCTATCGTCTGGTGTTGTCATCCACTGGCTCCTATCCTCAATCCCCAGCAGTGTTGTAGTAAATGAAGTTGGTGCATCCTTCCATGCTCAAATAAGTCCGCATGTCCCTCTACACTCCCGTACAAAACTGGCACTATAAACTGCAGGGTTGTTGGTAAACAAAGGCAGTATATGTACATGATACAAGCATCCCAACAATGCAGGTTGGGTGGTTGACGTAAGCATTATACGTAAGTCTCGAGAGTCACATGAGTTGTGGTAGGTAGTGGGGTTGGTTTCCCCTCTGACCATAGTAGGCAGGAGATCCTGATGCCACAAACTACACCCTGGGTCCCCTGACATTTCATACTGTCCATTCCACACAGCAGCTCTCTCTCCAATTACCTTCCGCCTCACCTTATGCTCATATATTGCCGCCCCACGACAATATAAGGCAATTGAAACTGTTTTCCCGTTGCCATATATGCATACAGTGTTTGTATTAACTTTTCCGCGTCATTGGTTGTGTTTGTGTGTGTGCGTGACAGTAAAATGTGTGGTCTTTCTGTGTGTTTTGAACTGTATTGGAATGTTAATTAGATGAAACAGGATCTCTATTAATGGTCAGGGTTCTTCTTGTAAAGAACAGGGGGGAAACCCTGTTATTTCCCCACTTGTACATCATACATACATAGTCTCTCAGGGTATCATGGTGGGATCATGCCCCATATCGTGCCAGCGAGCTAACAGCATGCCCAGATTTTGGAGTCCCTCTAAAAAAATGTGTTTCTCTTGATGTATCTACTTTTTTCTAGGAATCTTCTGACTTGTTGTCTCTATGTCTGTAGGAGGCGTTTGTTCTGCTGGATCTGATTGGAGCTCAGAATCCAACATTTCACAACATGTTTGAGAGCACCACAAACCTCTATGGGAGACTTGCTCGAATAGGTACATACGTAACATCACTGTATATTTATACCTTAAGATATCATTGCATTCTGGCTTTTTAGGTATGATAATGTACATATCACAGTCCCATACCTAATCTCATGCCCAGACCCTACCCTCGGGAGAGAAAAATGTTGCGGTGGTGACAACTGACCATTATTTTGGTTGTGCTGAATCAGCTGTATTAGTTTTCGGTAAAAATAAGAAATCTCTAAACCGTTACATGAGCCTAAACATCCAGTCCATGAAGCTGAGCTCCCTCCCACATGTAAAGTTTGCTTCATGCAAACTGCATAACAAGTGTGACTACGAGAGGGCGTCCTACCACCTGGCCCCGCCAATCACGTGTGACGGAGGGAGTCCACTATACCGCCTGGCCCCACCAGTCCAGTTGCGGGGGAGTCACATACGCCTGGCCCCAGCCAGTCACATGTGACGGAGGGAGTCCACTATACCGCCTGGCCCCACCAGTCACATGTGACGGAGGGAGTCCACTATACCGCCTGGCCCCACCAGTCACGTGTGACGGAGGGAGTCCACTATACCGCCTGGCCCCACCAGTCACGTGTGACGGAGGGAGTCCACTATACCGCCTGGCCCCCGCCAGTCACGTGTGACGGAGGGAGTCCACTATACCACCTGGCCCCACCAGTCACGTGTGACGGAGGGAGTCCACTATACCGCCTGGCCCCACCAGTCACATGTGACGGAGGGAGTCCACTATACCACCTGGCCCCACCAGTCACATGTGACGGAGGGAGTCCACTATACCGCCTGGCCCCACCAGTCACGTGTGACGGAGGGAGTCCACTATACCACCTGGCCCCGCCAGTCACGTGTGACTGAGGGAGTCCACTATACCACCTGGGTGACTGAGGGAGTCCACTATACCGCCTGGCCCCGCCAGTCACGTGTGACGGAGGGAGTCCACTATACCGCCTGGCCCCGCCAGTCACGTGTGACGGAGGGAGTCCACTATACCGCCTGGCCCCCACCAGTCACATGTGACGGAGGGAGTCCACTATACCACCTGGCCCCACCAGTCACGTGTGACGGAGGGAGTCCACTATACCGCCTGGCCCCACCAGTCACGTGTGACGGAGGGAGTCCACTATACCGCCTGGCCCCCGCCAGTCACGTGTGACGAGGGAGTCCACTATACCCCTGGCCCCCCAGTCACGTGTGACGGAGGGAGTCCACTATACCGCCTGGCCCCACCAGTCACGTGTGACGGAGGGAGTCCACTATACCGCCTGGCCCCACCAGTCACGTGTGACGGAGGGAGTCCACTATACCGCCTGGCCCCCGCCAGTCACGTGTGACGGAGGGAGTCCACTATACCGCCTGGCCCCGCCAGTCACGTGTGACGGAGGGAGTCCACTCTACTGAACATCTGTACATCTACCACATGTCCATGTTTGTAGGGAATGAAGGTGTGTGGGGATGTAGAGGTGGAGGGAGTGCGGCTGGGCTCTGTTTGGCCGGCCAGGCAGTAAACACAGGTCCACACCTATTGTACAGCTTCACCCCCCTCATCCCCTGCCTTATATGGCTCCGATCACTCTTCATTGCGTGTGATCATTGCACCATCATCCAGACATCAGCTAGAGCATTATGTAATGCTGATTCACTATGACAGTCCTGTTGTATAATACATCTCAGCCTTATTACTTGCTGCATGCGGAAGGGAGCTCAGCTACCATGTTTGTCAATGCAATTCACACTTTTTTGTGTTACTGTCTCCTGACACGACTATCCTTGCCAGTGTTACGTGCTTACATTCTTCTTGCACACATTACACCGAATGCATGTCTCTCGATTCTCCCAACATTTCCAGTCATGTACATTAGTGTAGGAATATGGTATTTTATTGAATAACAAGCTGTCAGTAGTGCAGTTTCTATGTTATTGAGTGGTGTATCTCCTCTTGAAGAGGATCTTGCTATTGGCAGCATACTCTTCCTGTAACTACTGCACATGTGTACCAGCACCCCTCAGCCCGGTTCCTGGGCCCTCGTAAGGAGAGCCATGGATTTTTGCACATGAATTACGTAGATCTAGACACCACTGATCACAATTCCCTCCCCTCTTTTTACACAGCCCATATTCTTTTATGGTAGGCTAATGGCTACATATTAACATGCGATATCTCAAGAGTTTCTCATGGGGCTTATTACGACCCATCCCCCTCAACCTCCCCCCCCCCTCTCTCTCTTTCTTTCCTTCTCTCTCCAGAGCAGAGGCTACATGATAGTAACCACCTGGAGTCCCACTCTCAACCCTACTTTGTAAGTCAGCAGCTACGATCACTTCAAATTGAGGATGACCATAAACCCTTCCTGGAGAGAGGTAATAGCACACACACACACCCAACACGTTTTTTAAATTAGGGTTTAATGAACGAAGGTCACGAAAGAACAGATGTCAATACACGATACCTATAAGGAAAGAGGGCTATGGGTTAGACTAGACAAACTAAGCGGTAGAAAATAGTAAACCGTGATTTATTTGGAGCAATGAATACCACCTGTCACTTGCATTATTGCATGTGTGTCTGCGTGTTTGGTGTTCCTATTTTTTGTTGCTTGGTGATTTGTCTTTCTTACTGAAATTCACGTGTGTGGAAGTGTATTCACGATGCAGCATGCCTCCCATAGCGGCCCATGTTTTACGATAGAGCTTGGTTGGTGCACAGTTTGGTCGATTTGGCATGTGCTTTGGAAGTTCCCACACGATGCAGCATGTTTCGTGACAGAAGCTGCTGTGTTGTGGGAGCCATGGAAGTGTCCTTGTTAGAGAGATTCCTGTGACACTTGTCCTTCTTCCTTCACTGCCCCTACCATATAATACATGTATATACCTGTAGTTTATTCAATACAGCTATACAGTGTATAATCATACATTATGTACATAATGTGTGTGTACATGTGTACCAACAGTGTGTGACTGCTTCAAAGCATACGTAATTGTTCATACCACAAGACAGCGAGGGCCTTAGAGAAGCTGTGAGGATGTTGGGCTGACAACACGCTCCTGCAAGTTTCATGTGATGACAAGCTGTAGGGATTTGTGCTCTATACACAGGGTTACCTGCACCAATATTAATTAGCTGGGTTATTTAGGGTGTCCTCGGTGTTGTCATCACTATTATGGAGATGCCAAAGTATACTGTGAAATTTCTGATGACAATTGAAACTTCTTGCGTTTTTCCTGTTTTTAGTGTACTGACCTTATCACAACATTCCAGCATACTTTGTTAACTTGATTCTCCCTACCTCCCTCTCTCTCCTTCCTTCTTCGCCTCTCTTCCTCCCTGTCTTTGGCCTGGCTCCCTCTCTCCCTCTCTCTCTCATACAATCTCTCACTCCTTACTGCCTCCCTCCCTCTCTCCTACCATCTCTCACTCCTTACTGCCTCCCTCCCTCTCTCATACCATCTCTCACTCCTTACTGCCTCCCTCCCCTCCCTCCCTGCCTCACAGGAGTGCCCATTCTCCATCTCATTGTCTCCCCCTTCCCCAATGTTTGGCACACTCTCAGGGACAATGCTGCAAGTCTCCACCGGCTCACTATCTCCAACCTCAAGAGGATCTTTGTGGTCTTTCTCCACGAGTACTTTCACCTCCACTAGATACCGTACCTGTACTGTCCAGTGACCCTCTCAGACTCACTCATTTTGATACTTGCATGCACAGAGCTGTGTTTCTTGGTAGTTACAATTATGTATATACATAGATCTTTGCATAATATTTTCCGAGACTGACATGCAAAGCCGCAGGCTAGACTATTGTAAAATCAACAAACTGCCAGTTTCAGGACTACTGCATTGTTGCGTGGTAATCAAAAATATCAATACAGCAAAGTGAAATGATTGACAACTTTAGAATAGACGGGACATAGGCCATCCCATACCCTGCTGGGTGTTGGGAATGGTTGGTCGGTGTTTGTGTGTGTGTGTGTGTGTTGACTTGAGGCTGGCGTGGGGAGTGTGTGTGCCTGTCTCCTAATGTGTGGACTGGAAGGCTGTGTAACAGACTCCAATCATCATGCCACACTCGTGATTCCTGGCAGCCAGGAATCAGGATATGTCCACCACAACACCATGTGTCAACACTGAACCACACTCCACCAATCAAACGATGCTAGCTGCATGCTTGCTATGTGAGCACATGTGTGCAACGGGAAAAGAATGTAAGATTATGTAATGCTGTACAAGTAATGCACACCCCTACTTAACTTGTCACCAAAACTGTCAGTCCATTGGCAGTTACCCTAGCTTTATGTAAAGCTTCTAACCTTTCAGAGGCGAGGCACGTGTGGCTCGGGAGCATATCTCGTGTACAAAGCAACATCCACCGCCCTGACAAAATGTTGCGCAATGGCCGAGTGCTCTGTTGGTGGTGGCGTCCATATTCGGTGCCTAATCCTGTGTTATAGCTGGCTTGCAAGATTTGAAATACAATACCAGCATAGGATACTTGCCTTGTAGCTTACACAGCACAGTTTCATTGGAATTCTAAAAATAGACCAAGTACTCTATTTTTAGAAACAGGCCGGTGAGAATTCGGCACGATCCATTCATTGTGAGTCAGACACTACGAGATTCTAGTGACACTAGTATTTTTTTATAAACTGGACCATGATTTGCCACCTGCAGTGGCAAGGAAAACGACGACAGAATCACTACGATACTCTAAATCAATTAAACGAAGAGCTAGTCTTCGATGGATATGTATGGGTGCACATGCCTTTTACACGTAATGACATGAGCGTTAACAATATCTAATTGCCACAAAAGTGTGATCAGTTCAGTGCTTATTCGTGATTCTGGTACTGTAAGAGAGAGAGAGAGGGAAGGCAGAGAGGGAAGACAGAGAGGGAAAGGAAGGGGGAGAGATAGAAGAGAACGAGACAGAGAAGAGGGAGGAAGGGAGGGAGAGGGGGGAGAGAGAGAGGGAGAGGGAGAGGGACGCCACAGCGAGAGTCAGTGACCACACAACACCCTAGAAGGGGCGGGCAGGGGCGCCACGCCAGCCCGGGCCAGAACCTCACAGGTGGCCTCCCAGCCAAAATACCTGCTCTCAACATAATTGTGGTGGGCCAGAGATTCCCGCCTGCCAACAAACAGATGAGGGTCGGTGTGCCAGATATGCATGTCATGGCGGCCGTTGATCATAAACCACAACTAGCCGGGCTGTGAGGGGGTATCAGAGAGGAAGGCAATGGGAGAATTTAGTTGACTCCACCTTTTTCACCTCATACTTGTGGCGATACATACTACGTACTTGCATATCACACTTCCCCATCGGTAACATTGCCAAGCACAGGCTGAGGGTGATAAACTATTCATAATGCAGGTATATACAGAGTTATGAGCCTATCTTTCTGGTATTCAACTGTCATTTTTTTTCCAATTATGTAGTATGTAGTGGGGGGAAAGGTGAATAAAGGAATCGGGGGAAGGGAGGAAGGGAGGGAGGGAAAAGAAGGCCAAACATAGGACGCTGAAAGTAAGATCCACCAAGGTGCTGGGGGGGTGGATACCAGGACAGTGGATGAGGCAGGGGTAATGGGATCAGGGCAGCATATAGTAGAATGTCGATGTTGGCCGGAAAAGGACGTAGGCGGGGTAACCGGCCGGCCAAGGCAATAGGGAGAGGCCAACGCCTAAGGTCATCACAGTAAAAGAAGACGAAGGGTCTAGCCTGTAGGGTAGTAATGGAGCAGGATCTGTATGAAATGGGGTCTGATCCAGTGGGTGGAAAAAGTAGGTCAGCAAGGGAGCTAGCAGATGATGATAGCCGAACTTGGAATTAAGATGATGGCATATTTTCTAATTGAGGATACATTGTCCTATTTCGCCATAGGGATGCGTATCAAAACGACGTCTAGCGGGACCTTCTGGATGCAAGTGAACCAGGATAGTCCGAGGCTGATAACGCCGCGCATGACGCTCGCCACCAAGGTTCTAGCCCGCTCAGTGGCACGTCCGCCATTAGCGCTCAGATGGATGTCCTCTTAGCCCGCCACTGCCGAACATTGGGCGGACTCCCCCGCATGGCCACTGTCGATCAGGAATGTCCTGCCATGGCCACCTTCGAGTGTTTACGAAACCCAAACCCCAGGGTGGTTGCCATCAATGAAGCCCTTCTGGAAGAATTGTTGACCGCGACACGGGTTACACGAGACATCCTTTGAGGCTCTATCGCAATTCGTCACCGGGGATACTGCGACAGTATCCCCAATAGAAGTGGCACTGAGTAGAGAGGGAGCAGGGGGAGCCTATTAGCACGATATTCCAAAACCGAAGCAGAACGCGTCACAGTTGAACGCATGCGATACAGATTTTTTAATATATCTGGGAAAAAAGTATCAATAGTGGCTCGGTAGGTTATTCCCGATGTAACCCTAAAAGTACAGCCTAATTTTGACCTTTATTTTCGACCATTTTTCTTCTGCATTTTAGAGCTCAGATTCATCACCAGCATTATTAAAAAAATTCCCGGACTTCTTCCAAAGAAGAGGCTTGGAAATTCCCGGTAACTCTGTATCAGACCGTGCGGTGTAGCTGTCCGGTTTTTGATGGGTTGGGCCTATTCAGGTCGGCAGTTGGGGATGCTCGGATTCGTTGCATCTGCTCCGACGGTGAACGCCAGCTTTTTTTGCAGGTCTTACGTTACGTACGAGACAGGTCATTGGTCGAGTAGGGAACGACTTGCTTTTTGGTCTTGAACTCTATTTCGACCCCGTTGGGGAGGTCGGAGACTTTTGTAGTCGCTGGATGGAGTGGGCGAATTTGTATGTCGAGGTTGATATCGTTCTTTACGCATACCGACACACCGGTTGAAGCACCGTGCATGCCACCGAAATGGAGTTTCTGGCACAAGTCCCTGCTGCCATACCGGAGAAGGGGCATGTGCCGCACCGATATCGAGAGCCGCTATCGACAACGTTACCTCGGACCCTTATCGCCAATTCCGGGCGTGGCGTGAGGTCTTTTTCACTCGCAGCGGTATTATCAATGGGGAATGGACACTTATATGGACGAGAAAGATGTTACGTAGAGGTAGAGACTGCGATCGATCAGTCCGATTGCGGGTGGCAGGAAGAGGTAAACAAGCAAACAGGGAAATAAGCGGGAAGACTATGCTAAACGGAGCTGTAGGGAAAGTAAAGAAGTTGTGGTAAAGTGAGTGCTTAAAAAGTAATTGGCGGAAGGGTAAGCTTGAGAAGGGGCACCCGAACAAAGTATAGAGTTTCAAAAAGATCCTTGGAAAAGTAAAATGTCGCAAAGTGTCAATTTAATGATTGACAAAATTATTCCTGAGTAAAACAGCCAAACGCTACGCGATTAAAAAGCCGCGAACGTACACGGCTGAGAACCGTCCCCTTCGGCGACAGTCTTCAGCCACCCGAGCCTCTC